TCCAGGCTGGGCTCCTCTTGCGTCTCACCAGAAGTAATGTTGCACTGTGCTTATCTGCACCATGCATTGCATTTTGCCCTGATGGATTTTAAAGCCACATTCATTCTTTAGTCATTCATTCCTGCATCAAATGTAAGTTTAAAACTTAAAAGCTTAGTTTAAAACTTGTTTATGATTTCTCATTTAGGAATGAATAAGGCAATCCATGTAATATGCACATTGATATGGAGTAAAGGAGGGTTCACTTATCTTAGATGTTGATTTCAGATGCTTTCTGAAAGCGTGCTGCAAACTGCTACAGCAAACACTGGTCAAGTATTTGAATGTTGAGCAGCAGGCTCATTGGATGTTAATGCAACAGAAATCAAGCACCATGTAGATAACAATGTGATTACTAGTAGATTGAGTTAAGGACCTATCAGCTTAGAGTTTCATGACAGAGCTTTTTGTATTTCAGTAGTCTGTACAGGTTACTTTGATTTGTTTTGTGTACCTGTTGTCTCCAATCATCAATGTTTTGTTTTGTCCATTTAGCATCAAGACAGATTTTGGAACAAAGGAGTCTCCATATGTGCAGTTCTACAGTTATGCCTTTACAGTCTTGTCGGACATTTTAGTTCTGACTACAGCCTGTAAGATGGACCTGCACAAGTTTCCATTCGACATCCACAGCTGCAATCTGACGCTTCAATCTTCAGCATATTCAAGTACATCAGAAATCCATGAATCAGGGTTGACAAACAAACATGGTTACTTCTAATAAACTGTTTGAGATCATATAAATTAATATAATAATTGTGTCTGTTCCCACAGTTGAGGAGCTTAAAGTTCTAACATTTGCAGATTCAGAGTGGGTAACGCACGAGTCGAAGCAGACCTTTCAGGCCCAGGGAGAGTGGGAGCTCCTCAGTATAAATATGGTTAAGTCTAATATTTCTGTGGGATATGAATGGGATATGAAGGATCAGCTGATATATCAGGTACAGTGCACAAGGTATGTAGTGTAAAACAATTTTAAATGTATAAATAAAATGGTAAAAACCACAACCAAATCATTGACCAAAGGGCTGGGTCGACAATATTGATGTAAAATGTTTTAATCAATCTTCATTTTGATAAATTGAGATGTCTTAGTCTGTGCTGTTTTCATATAATGCGTGAACAAACATTCACTAAACATTATTTGTAGTGAATTACATGTTCATTATAATTTTACTTATATATTTTAACCTTCTGTCTTCATTATTTAATGCATGGTTAAATAAACC